TTTAGTATTTGTTCTAGTTTATAGTCGAGTCTGTAGCCTAGTCTATAGTTTGGTCTAAAGTCTAGTCTATAGTATAGTCTAGTGTATATCTTAGTCTGTAGTCTATTCCATAGTCTAGTGTGTAGCCTAGTCTATAGTCTATTCTATAGTTTAGTCTTTATTGTGTAGTTATATAGTATATAGTTTAGTCTAAAGTATATTCTATATTCTAGTCTATAGGCAAGACTAAAAACGATATATAGTCTATATTCTTTTCTATAATCTATTCTGTGACCTTTTTCGTAGTCCAAACTAACACCCTGACCCTTGTCTTCTTCCCTTCTACCTTTGCCTGATAAAAATCCTCTAGCAAAAAACCTTGACTAAAGTCTTAAAGATGTATCTGTATTCTGTTCATTTAAATTTTTAAGATAATTTTGACATTTAAAGAATATATTTACCCAAAATATTGACTCTCAATTACATGCAACATAATTATTGTTGAAAAAATTAAAGCATACTTTTAAGTGTAAGCACTTATTGTAAATATGAAGCATAATTAAAGAGTAGAATCAAATAAGAAAAATATATATATTTTTTATATTATTCAGTTGCTTTATCCATATATTTGTTTGTTAATTTAAAGTTATTTAAAGCAACGTATTTTAACATACCTTTTCGGTAGTGTAGTTTTTTTTTATCCATTTTCTGGTAATATTATCATCATTTTTTATAAATTTTTTCACATATGACTTGTTTTTATGTCCTTGGGGACTTTTGAATGACAAATTGTGAATGTGTTGGGTTTTTTTGTATGTTTTTTCTACCCCGACTCTTTTAGGCATTTATCATTTCTCCGCACCCGGTTTTTTATATGTTTTTTTTTTATAGTGTAGTTTCGAATTTAAATCCCCTCTCAAATAAAAATAACTTGGATATATTTGTTTGTTTTTGAATGAACTGGTATGTGTATGTGTCAATATACTTATATGCTTTTTTAGATGTGTTTGTAATCCATTTATTTGTGTGTGTTTTTTGTAGGTAAAATATAAAATAAAGTGGATTTATTTCATTCCTTTTCTTTTCCTTCTTAAGTTTTTCTCCCATTTTTGGTAATTTTTTTCGTTCGAGATGATATTTATATTAATTTTCTTTTGATAAGGTTGATTGGTTTCTTTATTTGGGGTTATAAAATCGAACTATTTGCGGGGGGTTTCACAAAATTGAATGGATTTTTTTTTGTTTTTACATCCTTATAAGTAAAATGAAGATGTGCTAATTTCATTTTCGATAATGTATAAGGAATTTGCCAATAAATTATGAAGATTTATGTAGTATACTTTTAGGCTGAAATAAGATTAAATAATGTAGTATACTTTGTAGCGAAATATAATTTACAGAAAATACTATGAATTACTTATCATTACAGTCTTAAGTTTATTAATTAACAAACATAATTTTTATTATTTATTTAGTCCAAACTAACACCCTGACCCTTGTCTTCTTCCCTTCTACCTTTGCTTGATAAAAATCCTCTAGCAAAAAACCTTGACTCTCTCTAGTCTCTTACTCACTCTTCAACACTTTTCATAACTTTCGCTTTTCTTCCCATCTTCTATTCGTATAACTGCATTTTGTTTACCCTTGTTTTCACCAACTCGTTGTCAATTGTTTGGAATAAAAAAAAAAACTCTTAGCATACTTTTAGGTACTATACCAAAACATAAAGCGTAAAAGAACGAATGAAAAGCATAGAAATACTTGAATTTTTATATAATAACGCTATTTATACTTGAGTCTGAAAAATAAAAGAAAATCCTGGCATTATATTAGAATTCTTTAGGTCTTTCTTTCTTTCCTTTCACGCTTTTACAAAACAAAAACGAAAAAAATAATAAAAAAACACTAAATTATTTAAACACACTTTGAGTAAGGTCATGATTTATATTTTAATAAACATCATTTAAAGTGTCAAAAAATATGAAATATTTTACACGGCTGTTGTTTTAGACTAAAGATTAACAAAAAATATAATGTTAGTAATAATTTATTTAAAGCAATTCAAGGATTTTTGCAGAAAAGCAGTTAATTTATTGAAGACGTGTTTTTTTTTAATAAATCTTAAAGAAACATTAGGTTTATATCATAAACCTATAAATAAAATTGATTAACTGAGTCCTTGCTAGCAAAGAATAGAAATCTATTTAAAATTTAGCAAAGACATTCTGTACACTAGACTATAGACCATATATAAGACATATTCCAAACAATAGACGGACTTGAATACATTGCAGACTATAGACTAGACCATAGTTCGGACTATACAAAGCTTTAGTTCATGTCTAGTTTAGTTCTAGTTCAGTTCTAGTTCAGTTCTAGTTCAGTTCAAGTTCAGTTCTAGTTCAGTTCTAGTTCAGTTAGTCAGTTCTAGTTCAGTTCTAGTTCAGTTCTAGTTCAGTTCTAGTTCAGTTCTAGTTCAGTTCTAGTTCAGTTCTAGTTCAGTTCTAGTTCAGTTCTAGTTCAGTTCTAGTTCAGTTCTAGTTTAGTTCAGTTCTAGTTCAGTTCTAGTTCAGTTCTAGTTCAGTTCTAGTTCAGTTCTAGTTCAGTTCTAGTTCAGTTCTAGTTCTAGTTCAGTTCTAGTTCAGTTCTAGTTCAGTTCTAGTTCAGTTCTAGTTCAGTTCTAGTTCAGTTCTAGTTCAGTTCTAGTCAGTTCTAGTTCAGTTCTAGTTCAGTTCTAGTTCAGTTCTAGTTCAGTTCTAGTTCAGTTCTAGTTCAGTTCTAGTTCAGTTCTAGGTTCAGTTCTAGTTCAGTTCTAGTTCAGCTCTAGTTCAGTTCTACTTCAGTTCTTGTTTAGTTCTAGTTCAGTTCTAGTTCTGTTGTAGTTCTGTTGTAGTTCAATTCTAGTTCTGTTCTAGTTCTGTTCCAGTTCTGTTCTAGTTCTGTTCTAGTTCTGTTCTAGTTCTGTTTCTATTTCTGTCTAGTCTGTATCTAGTTCTGTTCTATTCTGTTCTAGTTCTGTTTCTAGTCTGTTCTAGTTCTATTCTAGTTCCGTCAAGTTCTGTTCTAGTTCAGTTCTAGTTCAGTTCGTTCTAGTCTGTTCTAGTCTGTTCTGTTCTAGGTCTGTTTCTAATTCTGTTCTAGTTTCTGTTCAAGTTCTGTTCTAGTTCTGTTCTAGTTCTGTTTCTAGGTCTGTTTCTAGTTCTGTTCTAGTTCTGTTCTAGTTCTGTTCTAGTTCTGTTCTAGTTCTGTCTATATTCTGTGTCTAATTCTGTTCTAGTTTCTGTTCTAGTTCTGTTCTAGTTCTGTTCTAGTTCTGTTCTGTTCTAGTTCTGTCTAGTTCTGTTTATAGTCATTTCTAGTTTCTAGGTGCTGTTCTAGTTCTGTCTAGTTCTGTTCTAGTTCTGTTTCTAGTTCTGTTCTAGTTTCTGTTGTCTAGTTTCTGTTCCTAGTTCTGTTCTAGTTCTGTTCTAGTTCTGTTCTAGTTCTGTTCTAGTTCTGTTCTAGTTCTGTTCTAGTTCTGTTCTAGTTCTGTTCTAGTTCTGTTCTAGTTCTGTTCTAGTTCTGTTCTAGTTCTGTTCTAGTTCTAGTTCTGTTCTAGTTCTGTTCTAGTTCTGTTCTAGTTCTGTTCAAGTTCTGTTCTAGTTCTGTTCTAGTTCTGTTCTAGTTCTGTTCTAGTTCTGTTCTAGTTCTGTTCTAGTTCTGTTCTAGTTCTGTTCTAGTTCTGTTCTAGTTCTGTTCTAGTTCTGTTCTAGTTTTGTTCTAGTTCTGTTCTAGTTCTGTTCTAGTTCTGTTCTAGTTCTGTTCTAGTTCTGTTCTAGTTCTGTTCTAGTTCTGTTCTAGTTCTGTTCTAGTTCTGTTCTAGTTCTGTTCTAGTTCTGTTCTAGTTCTGTTCTAGTTCTGTTCTAGTTTCTAGTTCTGTTCTAGTTCTGTTTAGTTCTGTTCTAGTTCTGTTCTAGTTTTGTTCTAGTTCTGTTCTAGTTCTGTTCTAATTCTGTTCTATTTCTGTTCTAGTTCTGTTATAGATCTGTTATAGTTCAGTTCTAGTTCAGTTCTAGTTCAGAACTAGTTTTTCTTTTATTTAAACATAATATTTTTTTTATTAATATATCGTTTACTTAGTTTATGGCTTCCTGCATATTACTCGTGTTAATAATTAAACAATTTATTCTTAAATATTTCATTAAATAAAATAACCCTTGAGCTTTTACAAACATTACACCAGCTATAGTCTGAAATCCTTTTAACGTTTTATCTTTCAATTTGCCAGCAACAAAATTGTTGGAATGTTAAAAAAAATATATGTATATTCCAAATAAAAACAACAAAATATGAATATGAAATTGCTACGTGAACGATACTGTAACATGTGTAAATTAAATACTCCTGTAGCTCTAAAATCGTTACAAAAGCTTTTGTTATATGTATACTTAGTATGTTCGTTGTCTGTGTGTTGGTTTTCCGTGTATTGTTTATTGTTTTCTAAAGGATTCTAAACTCAAGAGAAAAAGAACCTCAGATTCTAATGGGGATAAATGTGGGAAAAAATAAGTTGAACAAAAAAAATGTAGATTGAAATACAGAGATTTAAAAGAATGGTTTGTAAGGCAAACTTTTTGAATGTAGTGTAGATTTTCACAAATTGTTATCTTAAAGTACTTTTAAAGTTCTGTAGCAAGTGGACAATACATTTTCAAGCAATAGTTGTTCTGCATATGAAGCTAATAGTTTACATTGAAGATTGTATAGAAAACATTTTTTATCTTACCTAATATTGGCATTTTCTACACTCACTTTTTGTTTGCGAGTTTTTCTAAACAACTAGAATAGAATTTTCACATAAAATGAAAAATACCTGAACATATTTTCCCTGCAATTTAATTCCAGCTAAATCCATTAAGTATTTAAGCAGATTTTATTCTAAATGTTGCAAAAAAACTCTTTGATTTTTTCCAGGAATATGTGTTATTTTCAAAACCATTTTAATTAATTTAAATATTTTCTTTTTTCTTCTCTCTTTTTAGAATTCTGCCGAACCTGTCTACTCACCCACCATGGCCGGTGGCTTATTTTCCATAGATCGTGAATTCTTCGAATTATTGGGTACTTATGATTCCGGTTTCGATATTTGGGGTGGTGAGAATCTAGAGCTGTCATTTAAGACTTGGATGTGCGGTGGTACTTTGGAAATTGTGCCATGTTCCCATGTGGGTCATATCTTTAGAAAGAGATCACCGTATAAGGTAAGTTTAAGATAAGTTTAGTTAAGATGAAATGTAAAGATTTGTAAAAAAAGGAGTGGATTAAGAAGTGCGGTGCTACCGACATTTTAAGTTAAACTTTCCAAAGGAAATTTACATAATGTAGAATGTATTAAAGGAAATTTGCAAGATGCAAAATAAAAAATTACTCTATGTAAAGTTTTCCAATGAATTTTTTACATCATGTAAAATTTTCGAAATAATAGTTTACATTATAAAAGCTTTTCTATTAAATTGTTTACGCGATATAAAAAATCAATACTATTTTTTACTTTATGTAAAATTTTCCAAAGTAATGTTTACATTATGTTAAATATTCTAACAAATTGTTTACATTAAATAAAAAAATCTTAATAATTGTTTACATCATGTAAAAAAAAATCAAAATAATAGTTTACATTATTTAAAAAATTCAGTAAAATTGTTTACATGGTGCATAAACTTTAAAATAATTGTTTACACTATGTGAAAAAAAAATTTGTAAAGCATTGTTTTACATCATGTAAAGTTTTCTGTAGGATTGTTTACACTTTGTAAGTGTCTAGAGATTACGAATGTTTGTATGAATTGTTTATATAATATAAAAATATCCAAATAATTGTTAACATGAAGTAAAATTTAAAAAATAATTGTTTAAATGTGTTGTTTACATTTTGTAAAACGTTCAATAAGTGTTTACACAATGTAAAAATTTCGAAATAAATCTAAGAAAATCATGTACAATTTTTTAACATTGTGTAAAATTGTCAAAATATATTTAAATCGTTGTAAAAACAGTTAATGAATTATTTACATAATGTAAAAATTTGCGAAATAATTGTTTATATTATATAACATTTTAAAAGAATTGTTTACATCATGTAAAATTTGTTGGTTAGTCAGTTAGTTAGTCAGTCAGTCAGTCAGTAGTTAGTTAGTTAGTTAGTTAGTTAGTTAGTTAGTTAGTAGTTAGTTAGTTAGTAGTTTGTTAGTTAGTAGTTAGTTAGTTAGTTAGTTAGTAGTAGTTAGTTAGTTAGTAGTTAGTTAGTTAGTAGTTAGTTAGTTAGTTAGTTAGTTAGTTAGTTAGTTAGTAGTTAGTTAGTTAGTTAGTTAGTTAGTTAGTTAGTTAGTCGTTAGTTAGTTAGTTAGTTAGTTAGTTAGTAGTAGTTAGTTAGTTAGTAGTTAGTAGTTAGTTAGTTAGGTAGTTAGTTAGTTAGTTAGTAGTAGTTAGTTAGTTAGTTAGTTAGTTAGTTAGTTAGTAGTTAGTTAGTTAGTTAGTTAGTTAGTAGTTAGTTAGTTAGTTAGTTAGTTAGTTAGTTAGTTAGTAGTTAGTTAGTTAGTTAGTTAGTTAGTTAGTAGTTAGTTAGTTAGTTAGTTAGTTAGTTAGTTAGTTAGTAGTTAGTTAGTTAGTTAGTTAGTTAGTTAGTTAGTTAGTTAGTTAGTTAGTTAGTTAGTTTAGTAGTAGTTAGTTAGTTAGTTAGTTAGTTAGTTAGTTAGTTAGTTAGTTAGTTAGTAGTTAGTTAGTAGTAGTTAGTTAGTTAGTTAGTTAGTTAGTTAGTTAGTTAGTTAGTTAGTTAGTTAGTTAGTAGTAGTTAGTTAGTTAGTTAGTTAGTTAGTTAGTAGTTAGTTAGTTAGTTAGTTAGTTAGTTAGTTAGTTAGTTAGTAGTTAGTTAGTTAGTTAGTAGTTAGTTAGTTAGTTAGTTAGTTAGTTAGTTAGTTAGTTAGTTAGTTAGTTAGTTAGTTAGTTAGTTAGTTAGTTAGTTAGTTAGTTAGTTAGTTAGTTAGTTAGTTAGTTAGTTAGTTAGTTAGTTAGTTAGTTAGTTAGTTAGTTAGTTAGTTAGTAGTAGTTAGTTAGTTAGTTAGTTAGTTAGTTAGTTAGTTAGTTAGTTAGTTAGTAGTTAGTTAGTTAGTTAGTAGTTAGTTAGTTAGTTAGTTAGTTAGTTAGTTAGTTAGTTAGTTAGTTAGTTAGTTAGTTAGTTAGTTAGTTAGTAGTTAGTTAGTTAGTTAGTTAGTTAGTTAGTTAGTAGTAGTTAGTTAGTTAGTTAGTTAGTTAGTTAGTTAGTTAGTTAGTTAGTTAGTTAGTTAGTTAGTTAGTTAGTTAGTTAGTTAGTTAGTTAGTTAGTTAGTTAGTTAGTAGTTAGTTTAGTTAGTTAGTTAGTTAGTTAGTTAGTTAGTTAGTTATTAGTAGTAGTAGTTAGTTAGTAGTTAGTTAGTTAGTTAGTTAGTAGTTAGTTAGTAGTAGTAGTAGTTAGTTAGTTAGTTAATTAGGTTAGTTAGTTAGTAGTAGTTAGTTAGTTAGTTAGTAGTAGTTAGTTAGTTAGTTAGTTCGTTAGTTAGTTAGTGTTAGTTAGTTAGTTAGTTAGTAGTTAGTTAGCTAGTTATGTTAGTTAGTTAGTTAGTTAGTTAGTTAGTAGTTAGTTAGTTAGTTGTTAAGTTAGTTAGTTAGTTAGTTAGTTAGTTAGTTAGTTAGTTAGTTAGTTAGTAGTTACTTACTTAGTAGTTTAGTTTAGTTAGTTAATATTGATTTGCACCATGTAAGACTTCTCAGTATAGTTTACATCGTGTAAAATTGTCTTCTAAATTGATCCATGAAGTACAATTTCCTACAGCATTGTTACATTGTGTAAAAAATCGGATAATATTGTTTACATCGTGTAAAATTGTTGAAAATATTTATGCAACATGCATAGAAAGTATATCAATTGTTAACATCGTGTAGAAATTCTTAAAAAATTCTTTACATCATGTAAAAATTACAAAATATTTAATTGTACACAATAAGTTTCTAAAGAACTGTTTACTTCATGTAACATATTGCAAATAATTGTTTACATTGTGTAAAAATTTCTTATGTATTCATTACATCGTGTAAAATATTCTAAATAATTATTTACATCATGTAAAATTGATGAAAGAAGCCTTCATTTCATGTAAAATGTTATTTTTTTTAATGATTAAATGTATTTAGTAATGTTTTCAGTAACAATTTTAATAACAAGAATCCAGAAAAACTAGTCGGTAAAGTAAAACCGTAATCCCCTAGATACACAGGATATAAAATCACCGCTATTCAACACAATTAAAAATAACTGTGACGACCATAGGCGAGGTATATGGTCGGTCACTTTGAAATTTCAACTTTATTTTTATTAATCAAGAACAGAGCATAAATTTATACATTCTTCCAGTGGGTGTACAGCGCCACAACACATAGTCTACTCATAACAAAAACAATATATACAAAGTCAAATATTATACTTCAAAACCAGTTACCGCGTCACAACGTATGAATGTAAACCTCCTAGGCCGCCATATCCTTACATCGGTTTATGTGTGTGTGTGAGAGAGTTTAGGAAAGTGTGGCCACAACACAGATTGTACAATATGAGACAACTAAAGGTTTACTGTGAGTCAGAGTATGTTTTTTAAACGAAAACACGAAACAGGAGACCACAACTAAAATTGGTCATACCAAAAAGAAAGAACAACTTATTCATGAACGAGAATGTTTGCAAGTGAAACAATTAAAATTTTCAAAAGTAATTCCATGGTAAAATTTAGTTAAGGCAAACCACCATATAGTAATGTTTATGACAGAATTTTACATTGCGTAAAGTTTTTTTTCTATATAGAAAATATTACTTCAAGTAAACCAAGTAACTTCTTTAAATGAACATTTAACATGAGGTAAACAATAATTTAAAACAATTTACATGAAGTAAACAAATATTTACATGATGAAAACCAACCCTTAGAAACTTTAACATCATGTAAACAAGTCTTTAGAACATTTTACATCAGGTAAACTATACCATGGACAAGTTTACATGATACAAAAGATCATTTTGAACAATTTACATGATGTAGACTATACTTGAGATAATTTTCAAATATTTAAAAAAATCTAAACAATTACATTAAGCATTTTACATGATGTAAACAATTCCTTATAACAATTTACATGATGTAAACAACTCCTTATAATATTTTACATCATGTAAACAATAATTTAAAACAATTTACATTATGTAAACAATTATTTACATAATGTAAAATACTATTTACTTGATGTAAACAAACTACTGAAAATTTACATGATGTCTTCAAAACAGTTTACATCATATAAACTTTACCATAAATGATTTAACATGAAGTAAATAATTACTTACATGATGTAAACAATTATTTACACAATGTAAACAATCGTACAGAAAGTTGTAAATGATGTAGACTAGTCATTAAATAATTTTATATAATGTAAACAATTCTGTAGAATATTATACATGATGTAAACAATTCCTTAGAACATTTTTCCAGATATAAATAATATTATAGAATATTTTGACACATACCGTACTATGGGCTTAACATTAAAATTATATTTTTTCATGTAATAGTAACTTTACATTCAGTTTTCTACATATGTATTTGGTAAAAAAGTGTCATTGTCATTTTATTTAAATTCAACGTTATACTTTGTGTAATACACTGGATAAATTAAAAATCAACATGAAAACAATCAAAAGCATAAAATTATACACGCATTCCTACACACATATACCCCTTAACACTACCCAGCGGTTCGAAAAGGGGCCTAACATACTAGTGTTCAAAACTAACATTTAAAGGGGACGATCAAAAAAATTGATTTAGAAAAGATCACTTCTATGTTAATCTCTAAAACCTAGTTCAACAGTTGATCAAAGCAACATATCTCTAGAATACTTTTAGACGGACTGACTGACAACCTGCTATATACTTAGGACAAGTAAAGTAACAATGAACCCTAAAATATACAGTAGAACTATTGCCTTGAAGTTACACAAAAACTGCCGGAATCATATGTAATTTTATACGTATTACTACAGTAAAATAGGCACGTTTTTGTGTGTGGAACTGTGTTTTCGCCTAGTATACTCTAGGGAGCTGAAAAAATAACTCTCACTGTTACTAACACATGTTCAAACTCATGTACACACAAATGTCACTTGTGTCCACTTTAATAGAGAGTAAAAACAAGTTATTTGTTGCTGTTGTTTTTCTGTGTTTTTAAATATAAAACCGGAAAATTCTAAAAACAAAGAATGTAAAACAATTGCAAAAGCAAACATTATTCGTGAAAATGTCCTGACCACTGGTCATGTTTTAACAATTAATGTACACTGTATGTGTATGAAATATAAATATGTATGTATGAGAGGACAGGAAACCTGCATACATACAATGGGGCATAAATATGGTGCGTGGGATATAGTGGGATAAAAACAGAACTAGAACAGAACTAGAACAGAAACTAGAAAAGAACTAGAACAGAACTAGAACAGAACTAGAACAGAACTAGAACAGAACTAGAACAGAACTAGAACAGAACTAGAACAGAACTAGAACAAAACTAGAACAGAACTAGAACAGAACTAGAACAGAACTAGAACAGAACTAGAACAGAAAGAACAGAACTAGAACAGAACTAGAACAGAACTAGAACAGAACTAGAACAGAACTAGAACAAATAGAACAGAACTAGAACTAGAACAGAACTAGAACAGAACTAGAACAGAACTAGAACAGAACTAGAACAGAACTAGAACAGAACTAGAACAGAACTAGAACAGAACTAGAACTTGAACAGAACTAGAACAGAACTAGAACAGAACTAGAACAGAACTAGAACAGAACTAGAACAGAACTAGAACAGAACTAGAACAGAACTAGAACAGAACTAGAACAGAACTAGAACAGAACTAGAACAGAACTAGAACAGAACTAGAACTACAACTAGAACAGAACTAGAACTAGAACAGAACAGAACTAGAACAGAACTAGAACAGAACTAGAACAGAACAGAACTAGAACTAGAACAGAACTAGAACAGAACTAGAAGAACTAGAACAGAACTAGAACAGAACTAGAACAGAACTAGAACAGAACTAGAACAGAACTAGAACAGAACTAGAACAGAACTAGAACATAAAACTAGAACAGAACTAGAACAGAACTCGAAACAGAACTCGAACAGAACTAGAACAGAACTAGAACAGAACTAGAACAGAACTAGAACAGAACTAGAACAGAACTAGAACAGAACAGAACTAGAACAGAACTCGAACAGAACTAGAACAGAACTAGAACAGAACTAGAACAGAACTAGAACAGAACTAGAACAGAACTAGAACAGAACTAGAACAGAACTAGAACAGAACTAGAACAGAACTAGAACAGAACTAGAACAGAACTAGAACAGAACTAGAACAGAACTAGAACAGAACTAGAACAGAACTAGAACAGAACAGAACTAGAACAGAACTAGAACAGAACTAGAACAGAACTAGAACAGAACAGAAACTAGAACAGAACTAGAACAGAACAGAACAGAACTAGAACAGAACTAGAACAGAACTAGAACAGAACTAGAACAGAACTAGAACAGAACTAGAACAGAACTAGAACAGAACTAGAACAGAACTAGAACAGAACTAGAACAGAACTAGAACAGAACTAGAACAGAACTAGAACAGAACTAGAACAGAACTAGAACAGAACTAGAACAGAACTAGAACAGAACTAGAACAGAACTAGAACAGAACTAGAACAGAACTAGAACAGAACTAGAACAAACTAGAACAGAACTAGAACAGAACTAGAACAGAACTAGAACAGAACTAGAACAGAACTAGAACAGAACTAGAACAGAACTAGAACAGAACTAGAACAGAACTAGAACAGAACTAGAACAGAACTAGAACAGAACTAGAACAGAACTAGAACAGAACTAGAACAGAACTAGAACGAACTAGAACAGAACTAGAACAGAACTAGAACAGAACTAGAACAGAACTAGACAGAACTAGAACAGAACTAGAACAGAACTAGAACAGAACTAGAACAGAACTAGAACAGAACTAGAACAGAACTAGAACAGAACTAGAACAGAACTAGAACAGAACTAGAACAGAACTAGAACAGAACTAGAACAGAACTAGAACAGAACTAGAACAGAACTAGAACAGAACTAGAACAGAACTAGAACAGAACTAGAACAGAACTAGAACAGAACTAGAACAGAACTAGAACAGAACTAGAACAGACAGAACTAGAACAGAACTAGAACAGAACTAGAACAGAACTAGAACAGAACTAGAACAGAACTAGAACAGAACTAGAACAGAACTAGAACAGAACTAGAACAGAACTGGAACAGAACTAGAACAGAACTAGAACAGAACTAGAACAGAACTAGAACAGAACTAGAACAGAACTAGAACAGAACTAGAACAGAACTGGAACAGAACTAGAACAAACTAGAACAGAACTAGAACAGAACTAGAACAGAACTAGAACAGAACTTGAACAGAACTTGAACAGAACTAGAACAGAAATAGAACAGGACTAGAACAGAACTAGAACAGAACTAGAACAGAACTAGAACAGAACTAGAACAGAACTAGAGAACTAGAACAGGACTAGAACAGAACTAGAACAGAACTAGAACAGAACTAGAACAGAACTAGAACAGAACTAGAAACAGAACTAGAACAGAACTAGAACAGAACTAGAACAGAACTAGAACAGAACTAGAACAGAACTAGAACAGAACTAGAACAGAACTAGAACAGAACTAGAACAGAACTAGAACAGAACTAGAACAGAACTAGAACAGAACTAGAACAGAACTAGAACAGAACTAGAACAGAACTAGAACAGAACTAGAACAGAACTAGAACAGAACTAGAACAGAACTAGAACAGAACTAGAACAGAACTAGAACAGAACTAGAACAGAACTAGAACAGAACTAGAACAGAACTAGAACAGAACTAGAACAGAACTAGAACAGAACTAGAACAGAACTAGAACAGAACTAGAACAGAACTAGACAGAACTAGACAGACTAGAACAGAATAGAACTGTAACAGAACTAGAACAGAACAGAACAGAACTAGAACAGAACTAGAAACAGAACTAGAACAGAACTAGAACAGAACTAGAACAGAACTAGAACAGAACTAGAACAGAACTAGAACAGAAGAACTAGAACAGAACTAGCACAGAACTAGAACAGAACTAGAACAGAACTAGAACGAACTAGAACAGAACTAGAACAGAACTAGAACAGAACTAGAACAGAACTAGAACAGAACTAGAACAGAACTAGAACAGAACTAGACAGAACTAGAACAGAACTAGAACAGAACTAGAACAGAACTAGAACAGAACTAGAACAGAACTAGAACAGAACTGGAACAGAACTAGAACTGAACTAGAACAGAACTAGAACAGAACTGGAACAGAACTAGAACAGAACTAGAACAGAACTAGAACAGAACTAGACAAGAACTAGAACAGAAACTAGAACAGAATTAGAACAGAACTAGAACTGACTAAAGCAAAAGCTTCATATCTCCGATCTGTTCATAAGTTCCGCGTTTGTCCTACTGTGTGTATATATAAGACATTGAAACGTGTATCTGTATTTGTTAGTATTTTTACTTCCTGTAAGAGCAGCGATATACATAAATAAGGGAAGCGAGAGAGGGAAAACTAAGGAAACAAGTTGGGTTTATTGTTGTTAACCACATCAACGTTTTGGTTGTATGCTATACGGAGAGGACTCATACATACTTCATACATATGTATATCTTTGAGCCTTTAGTAAAACTATATGAAAAGTTTTGTTATTTTTTCATTAAATATGTTTCCTTTTATGTTTTTATATAAGTATTTCTTTTAAACGAGTCTACGTGCAGTACAACTCACTCTCCCTATTCATTCCTTTATTAAAAATTACCGTTATTGCTTTCATATAGTAAAAGAGACATAAAAGAAACATTCTGGGTTTTTTTCCCCTTCATAATTAGTGACTCAATTTAAGCCACATACAAAATTTTTTCCTCTACTCTCGAGTTTTATAAACCGTAAAAATGTAAAATATTTAAGTATGTGACTGTATATGAGAGAAACTGGTTAATTTTTACCATTTCTAGTCACAAACACACATACTCACACATTTAATATACTTAAATATAAATGTACATACATTTTGAAGTATTTGAAGTGCAAACATTTTTTAAAATCTTCTCACTGCACTTTCGTCCTTTTGCTGTATAAATTTTTAATATAAAATTTTTCAGTTTTTTTTTTTTTTTTGATACAAATGTCATTTTATACTCATCTCTACTTTTGCTCTTTTTTTTTTGCAGTGGCGCACAGGCGTTAATGTACTTAAAAAGAATTCTGTACGCTTGGCTGAGGTTTGGTTAGATGACTATTCTAAATATTATTATCAACGCATTGGTAACGATAAAGGTGATTTTGGTGATGTTAGTGCACGTAAAAAATTGCGGTAAGTTTTGGGAAAAGTTATTACATAAATTCCGAAAATAAACGACCTACCAATTATGTTGAATAATTTAAATTAGAAATGAATTCGAACTGAACAAGAACAGAACAAAACAGAACTAGGACATAACTACAACAGAATTAGAAGAGAACTGGAACAGAACTAGCACAGAACTAGAACAGAACTGGAACAGAACTAGAACAGAACTAGAACAGAACTAGAACAGAACTAGAACTAGAACAGAACTAAACAGAACTAGAACAGAACTAGAACAGAACTAGAACAGAACTAGAACAGAACTAGAACAGAACTAGAAACAGAACAAGAACAGAACTAGAACAGAACAGAACAGAACTAGAACAGAACTAGAACAGAACTAGAACAGAACTAGAACAAACTAGAAACTAGAACTAGAACAGAACTAGAACAGAACTAGAACCAGAACTAGAACAGAACTAGAACAGAACTAGAACAAACTAAACAGAACTAGAACAGAACTAGAACAGAACTAGAACAGAACTAGAACAGAACTAGAACAGAACTAGAACAGAACTAGAACAGAGCTAGAACAGAACTAGAACAGAACTAGAACAGAACTAGAAACAGAACTAGAACAGAACTAGAACAGAACTAGAACAGAACTAGAACAGACTAGAACAGAACTAGAACAGAAACTAGAAACAGAACTAGAACAGAACTAGACAGAACTAGAACGAACTAGAACAGAACTAGAACAGAACTAGAACAGAACTAGAACAGAACTAGAACAGAACTAGAACAGAACTAGAACAGAACTAGAACAGAACTAAGAACAGAACTAGAACAGAACTAGAACAGAACTGAACAGAAATAGAACAGAACTAGAACAGAACTAGAACAGAACTAGAACAGAACTAGAACAGAACTAGAACAGAACTAGAACAGAACTAGAACAGAACTAGAACAGAACTAAACAGAACTGAACAGAACTAGAACAGAACTAGAACAGAACTAAAACAGAACTAGAACAGAACTAGAACAGAACTAGAACAGAACTAGAACAGAACTAGAACAGAACTAGAACAGAACTAGAACAGAACTAGAACAGAACTAGAACAGAACTAGAACAGAACTAGAACAGAACTAGAACAGAACTAGAACAGAACTAGAACGAACTAGAACAGAACTAGAACAGAACTAGAACAGAACTAGAACAGAACTAGAACAGAACTAGAACAGAACTAGAACAGAACTAGAACAGAACTAGAACAGAACTAGAACAGAACTAGAACAGAACTAGAACAGAACTAGAACAGAACTAGAACAGAACTTGAACAGAACTAGAACAGAACTAGAACAGAACTAAAACAGAACTAGAACAGAACTAGAACAGAACTAGAACAGAACTAGAACAGAACTAGAAAAACTTGAACAGAACTAGAACAGAACTAGAACAGAACTAGAACAGAACTAGAACAGAACTAGAACAGAACTAGAACAGAACTAGAACAGAACTAGAACAGAACTAGAACAGAACTAGAACAGAACTAGAACAGAACTAGAACAGACTAGAACAGAACTAGAACCGAACTAGAACAGAACTAGAACAGAACTAGAACAGAACTAGAACAGAACTAGAACAGAACTAGAACAGAACTAGAACAGAACTTGAACAGAACTAGAACAGAACTAGAACAGAACTAGAACTAGAACAGAACTAGAACAGAACTAGAACAGAACTAGAACAGAACTAGAACAGAACTAGAACAGAACTAGAACAGAACTAGAACAGAACTAGAACAGAACTAGAAACAGAACTAGAACAGAACTAGAACAGAACTAGAACAGAACTAGAACAGAACTAGAACAGAACTAGAACTAGAACTAGAATAGAACTAGAACAGAACTAGAACAGAACTAGAACAGAACTAGAACTAGAACTAGAACAGAACTAGAAGAACTAGAACAGAACTAGAACAGAACTAGAACAGAACTAGAACAGAACTAGAACAGAACTAGAACAGAACTAGAACAGAACTAGAACAGAACTAGAACAGAACTAGAACAGAACTAGAACAGAACTAGAACAGAACTAGAACAGAACTAAAACAGAACTGGAACTTAACTAGTACTAAACCATAACTGAAAAACTGTTGTATAATTTTAGAGGTTTAATTTCTTAATTAGTTTTGAAAATATTTTTTCTTTCTCATTTTTTTTTATGTTTATTTTCTTTTACCTTTAGTGAACGTTTGGGTTGCAAAAGTTTCAAATGGTATTTAGACAATGTCTATCCTGAACTGTTTATACCCGGAGAATCTGTAGCCTATGGTGAGGTAAGTATTCTAGTTCTTATATCAAATGGAATGCAAAAAAAAAACATAAATTGCTTTAACCAGCTAAAGCTAACCACTCAACTGACCTTCCTACCCCACTACTATCACGCTAATTCCAAAACATGTTGTAACAGACAAAAACTACACTGAAACAAATTGGTTTAAAAAGACCCCTGCTTAATATTTATCTCTACATAAACTAAAACTAAACGAACTAATTTAACTAAAACTAATTTATTTTATATATATTTTTATGCCAACAAAAAAAAATAACAAAACAAAAACACAGATAAGAAATTTAGGTGCTGGCGGTCGCACATGTTTGGATTCACCGGCACGTAAAAAAGATTTGAAAAGAAGGTGGGCTTGTATCCCTGTCACAATCAAGGTGGAAATCAGGTTGGTAATAAATCATGAACAAAAAAAAAACAGCGACCGCCACAAGCTCCGTTAAAAAGCAACAATTTTGTTTACAAAATAAAACACCAAAATTTTATTTGATAACAATTACATAATATGGTAAAAAAAACTAAAACTACAACACTTCCCTATAAAAAATAAGGTTATGGGTTCTCACTCACCACATCAGCCAGCTTGTTATAATAAGAATCATATATTTGGTAACCTCCTCCACTCCCGCCTCTGGCATGCTCTTAACTTTTAGTTTTCTTCTTTTTTTAATAACTTTATAGTTTTTTTTATACAAAAACTTTCTTTTCTTCCTTTTTCTTTTTTTCCAACTATATTAAACCAAAAAAAAAAAAAAATCAAAACGTATCGCATATATATTTTTGTGTAAAATCAACAACACACTTACAGATTGCCAATATCGAGACCGATATGTGTTTAGATTCAGCCGCCAAACCGGACGACATGCAAGGCGCCGTTGATCCTTATAAATGTCACGGTCAGGGTGGAAATCAGGTATTTTTTTGTTTTAAATCTAATTTATGGTTTGTTTGCTTTTCTTTTTTTTTAATAATTTAATCATTTTAACGCTTTGAAATGCTTTTTTTATTATAATTTATTTGGCTTGTTTTGGGTATGAGTTTATTTTAATTTAATTAAAAACCCCAGTCCTCAAAACCACAAATTAACTTTGTCCATTTTTAAAACTAATGTTTATTTATAGTTCTGTTTTTATTATACTTTTCATTGTTACTGTTTTTGGTTTCCATTTGGAATAGTTAAAAATATTTAGTTAAAGTTAAATGATGGTTACGGTTGAATTGTCGGGAATATTGAGAAAGAGAGGAAAAGCGAAAGAGTTCAAAGTTTGTTTTTATGCAACGGTGATATAATTGAAATAATATGAAAACAATTGCATACTTTCAAGGCTTTAATTGTGGCTGGAATATCAAAAAACAATTTAAAAGTAAATTGAAGGAATTATTCGACTGTAGAACAGAACTAGAACTAGAACAGAACTAGAACAGAACTAGAACCCGAACTAGAACAGAACTAGAACAGAACTAGAACAGAACTAGAACAGAACTAGAACAGAACTAGAACAGAACTAGAACAGAACAGAACAGAATAGAACTAGAACAGAACTAAAACAGAACTAGAAAGAACTAGAACAGAACAGAACTAGAACAGAACTAGAACAGAACTAGAACAGAACTAGAACAGAACTAGAACAGAACTAGAACAGAACTAGAACAGAACTAGAACAGAACTAGAACAGAACTAGAACAGAACTAGAACAGAACTAGAACAGAACTAGAACAGAACTAGAACAGAACTAGAACAGAACAGAACTAGAACAGAAATAGAACAGAAATAGAACAGAATTAGAACAGAACTAGAACAGAACTAGAACAGAACTAGAGCAGAACTAGAACAGAACTAGAACAGAACTAGAATAGAACTAGAACAGAACTAGAAAAGAACTAGAACTAGAACAGAAATAGAACTATAACAGAACTAGAACGGAACTAGAGCAGAACTATAGCAGAACTAGAGCAGAACTAGAACAGAACTAGAACAGAACTAGAACAGAACTAGAACGGAACTAGAACAGAACTAGAACAGAACTAGAACAGAACTAGAACAGAACTAGAACAGAACTGGAACAGAACTAGAAACAGAACTAGAACAGAACTAGAACAGAACTAGAACAAACAGAACTAGAACAGAACTAGAACAGAACTAGAACAGAACTAGAACAGAACTAGAACAGAACTAGAACAGAACTAGAACAGAACTAGAACAGAACTAGAACAGAACTAGAACAGAACTAGAACAGAACTAGAACAGAACTAGAACAGAACTAGAACAGAACTAGAACAGAACTAGAACAGAACTAGAACAGAACTAGAACAGAACTAGAACAGAACTAGAACAGAACTAGAACAGAACTAGAACAGAACTAGAACACAACTAGAACAGAACTAGAACACAACTAGAACACAACTAGAACACAACTAGAACACAACGAGAACAGAACTAGAACAGAACTAGAACAGAACTAGAACAGAACTAGAACAGAACTAGAACAGAACTAGAACAGAACTAGAACAGAACTAGAACAGAACTAGAACAGAACTAGAACAGAACTAGAACAGAACTAGAACAGAACTAGAACAGAACTAGAACAGAACAAGAACAGAACTAGAACAGAACTAGAACAGAACAAGAACAGAACTAGAACAGAACTAGAACAGAACTAGAACAGAACTAGAACAGAACTAGAACAGAACTAGATCAGAACTAGAACAGAACTAGAACAGAACTAGAACTAGAACAGAACTAGAACTAGAACAGAACTAGAACAGAACTAGAACAGAACTAGAACAGAACTAGAACAGAACTAGAACAGAACTAGAACAGAACTAGAACAGAACTAGAACAGAACTAGAACAGAACTAGAACAGAACTAGAGCAGAACTAGAACAGAACTAGAACAGACCTAGAACAGAACTAGAACAGAACTAGAACAGAACAGAACTAGAACAGAACTAGAACAGAACAGAACTAGAACAGAACTAGAACAGAACTAGAACAGAACTAGAACAGAACTAGAACAGAACTAGAACAGAACTAGAACAGAACTAGAACAGAACTAGAACAGAACTAGAACAGAACTAGAAACTAGAACAGAACTAGAACAGAACTAGAACAGAACTAGAACAGAACTAGAACAGCACTAGAACGAACTAGAACAGAACTAGAACAGAACTAGAACAGAACTAGAACAGAACTAGAACAGAACTAGAACAGAACTAGAACAGAACTAGAACAGAACTAGAACAGAACTAGAACAGAACTAGAACAGAACTAGAACAGAACTAGAACAGAACTAGAAACAGAACTAGAACAGAACTAGCACAAACTAGAACAGACCTAGAACAGAACTAGAACAGAACTAGAACAGAACTAGAACAGAACTAGAACAGAACTAGAACAGAACTAGAACAGAACTAGAACAGAACTAACAGAACTAGAACGAACTAGAACAGAACTAGAACAGAACTAGAACAGAACTAGAACACAACTAGAACAGAACTAGAACAGAACTAGACAGAACTAGAACAGAAAACTAGAACAGAACTAGAACAGAACTAGAACAGAACTAGAACAGAACTAGAACAGAACTAGACAGAACTAGAACACAACTAGAACAGAACTAGAACTAGAACACAACTAGAACACAACTAGAACACAACTAGAACACAACTAGAACACAACTAGAACAGAACTAGAACAGAACTAGAACAGAACTAGAACAGAACTAGAACAGAACTAGAACAGAACTAGAACAGAACTAGAACAGAACTAGAACAGAACTAGAACAGAACTAGAACAGAACTAGAACAGAACTAGAACAGAACTAGAACAGAACTAGAACAGAACTAGAACAGAACTAGAACAGAACTAGAACAGAACTAGAACAGAACTAGAACAGAACTAGAACAGAACTAGAACAGAACTAGAACAGAACTAGATCAGAACTAGAACAGACAGAATTTGAAAAGAACTAGAACAGAACAATGTAGAATAGAAGTGGAACAGAATTAGTTTTTGTCAAGAATCTAGACTATAGACAAGGCTATGTTCTTGGACCATAATGTACACTATACATTGGGGAAGCATCTTATTTTTGAGTGCTTCGCTTACAATCTTAGTTTATGGTTCTACGCCCATAGTGCATTTTACTGAGAAGTATTATAACTTTGCAAAAACTTTTCTCGGAAACTGATTGTACTCATTGACTAATTTGATTTAGCGAGTTAACAACATTTATGCATGGTATGTTAAATATTCCATAGATTTATTGAATTGAATACAAACTACAAAGCTCAGTTGGTTAAACCCTTTTAAACAAATAGTTTTATTGAATAATAATACTATATATACTATGCAGGCTCAAGAAAAAACAATGCCATTAAACTTTATATACCATTAGTTGTTATAAATTTATATATGTTTTTTTAATAAAAAACCAATAGAATTTTATATTTACAAGCTTACCAGGCAGCTGTAAACGAAAGAAAAATAATAAATAAAATTTCGGTTGGACGAAACAACAAATATCTAGAAAAAAATTACACAATATAAAATATTTACTTCTGCAATGCATTTATTTATTTTTTAGTTTTTTTTCTCTCCCCACATAAAATATTTGCATATTTTGCTGGAAACCAAAATGAATATAAAAATGCATAGAACGAATAAAAATTCATGGAATACCTTTAGGGATTTAGGAATTAATTTTCAAATTATTTTCAATTAAAAACATGTATGAGGAGTAAACACAATTTTTTTTTAAGTTTTAAATATGGCTTCATGGTGGGTTTTTATACATACATATGCATGTACATATGTGTGTATGTTTGTATGAGTATGTATCTACATGAATCAACGAATATACATATTTTGTTGGTTTGCAAATTTAAAACCACAAAAAGTGAAAAATTTTAAAAAATATGAAAATGAAATTTTTTTTTTATAATTTGTTTAAAAGCACTTTGGTATGGTATGCTAAATTAAAAATATTAAATTTTTGTTAATAAATAAAATTATGTATGGGTTTAGAGATTTAACAGATACAGAAAAATGTGAAGCATACTTTAAAGGGCTTGTTACTTAGAGACAAAGTAACATATATTGTTGAATTGAATTTTTTATCCTGAAAATAAAATCTCTAAAAATCTTGTATATACTTGAATTTAAATGAAATTTAACTCTCTTTATTAATATTTTTTTTAACTTTCCTAATGAACTTTTAAACTGCTATATAATATTATATTTGTTGCCTAAAGGTATGTTACTTTTAATGCCACAAATATTGTTTGCATAATTTTGCGACACTAAAAACTGGTGTGAAAATAACCATAAACTAAAATTTTAATGTGGAATTTATAATTAAGCTATGCTAACATTTCTAAAATAAATAG